ATGAATTTCAAATAATACTTATTTCGAATAGAAATATTATTCATAAAATATTGAATTAATTATGGAAAAAAAGGTGAGAATTTTAATATTAATTTAAAATATTCTGATTAAAATCTCCTCCCTTTCCTTTTTTTTACCATTCTTTTTCGCCCATTTCTCCTTCTCTTTTTTCCCATAAAAATTTTTATATTCATTATTTTCTCACTGATATATGCATATTTCACCGGATATCGGGATAATAACCTTTGAGATATTTCTTATAAATGATCATTTATATTTGAATTTTTCATTTAATTGCTTTCATTATAAGTAAGTTATTTATGGTATGTTATTGATTTTACTAAAAATTTGTTAATCATTATTTTAAGTTATAATTTCATCAATAAAAGAATAGCTAATTTTGTTTTCCTCTAATTTTTTCTTTACAAATTGCTTGCTTTGTTTAGCTAATTAAATTCTCATCATCGGTTGTTTCACTAAAATTTCAATGGTTGTTCCTTTCTACCTGTGTTTAGCCAACGATCTAATTGATTAAATAATTCGGTTTACCCGTTAATAGCTTATCTGATTATTAATTTTATAATTGGCTTATAATTAGTATAGCTAATTCAGGCTTATATTTATTTAAAATTTATTATTATTTTAGAACACTTTAATTTTTATTAATTTTCAATTCAATAAGGAAGTTTCAAACTTTGTAACCATTTAAAACATATCAAATTAATGATAGGAAGAGAAAGCAGGGGAAAATTTGAAGAAATATCCAGAACGAAAGAAAATCTTGATAGTCTTGCAAATGGATAAGATACAATGTGACATATTATTTCTTCTTGCTAGATACAGGTTTCCTGAAAGGTACATCTTTCCATCATTATCAGTTATTCTTCCAGTGAATGTGATTAGCAGAATTGGTTGGATAGAACCGGAAATAAATAAATCTGAACAAGCAATATCTTTAAAACCGTTAATGAATTAATTTAAGGATAAGTTTCCAGATATTCAATTTTTTTTTCTTGCTTATTTTCATTTATTATTTATTTATTCTTTTATTTTGGTTTCATATTTATTTTTCATTTGTATTTTATTTATTTTTCCCCCTAATTTTATTAATTTATTATTTACTTAATTAATTATAACTACTTATCTATTCATTTCCTTATTTATTCTTTATTCATTTTTTATTTATTCTATTCATTTTTTTGTACATTTATTTATAAATTGTTTGGTTATAATTTATAAATCTTATAATTGAAATGTTTGGACAATATATCTTATCACCATAGCTAATTAAGCAACTTTATCATTAAAGTTTTATCACTGTTATCAGATATTAATATTAATTTGATTCTCGGACTTCCGGAAATAACTCCTGATTCAGCGACTCATGAATTTCATTGTTTTCAGTTTCATCAAAAATCCTTGTAAAAATAAACAAATGAATAAATTAGCAAGGCAATTCATATCTCAATTTATATCTATTATTTCTAGTTAATCGTTGTCATTTTTAGATTTTAGGCATATTTTAATTATTTGATATATACATCTATCATATCAACCATTAGTTATCAGTAAATAATTATTATGACAAACAAGTTTGTCATAATGAAAACGTTTTATATTTCCAACAATTACATCTATTAATTGCTATCCATCATTTCATCAAATTCATCAACCCAGTATTGAAAGAATAAAATCATCACATATTGATTATCAGATATGATTTGATAATAATAAACTTAACTTTGGATCTACTATCAATTCTCTAAAGTAGCCTTCTCCTCATTCATATGTCAGTCTGTCCGCAACTTTTGCTCCATAAACTATTCCTTTATTCTTAAATTTACAACGGACAACTGTTGTGGAAATTTTAGCCCATATCCTCCTTTTAATTAAAATCTTTAGCATAATTTTAGTATTTTAAATCTTAGTCATCACAAGTTTTTAGTTTTAAAAATTGCATTTAGCATTTAGGCAATCTTTTTTTTTTCTTTATATTTTTTACTAAGTGTCTTCATCATTCTCTGTTCTACTGAGAGAGAGAGAGAAAGAGGAAGAGAGGTCAAAGATTGAAGTAATTAAGTAAAATAAACTGTTAGAAGATTTAAAGCTTTAATTTAATTTCAGAAAGTTATTACTATTTACACTTATCCTATTCGTACAGCTGAACAAATTATGCATGGTCAATTTTCGTATACTGATACTTTTCATTGGCTAAAATACTGGTCATCTGTTGGTCATTTGTATTAACAAGCACATTTAATATTTCGCAATTTGAAACAAAATAAATCTAGAAAAATTTTCAAATGTTGATGCCAATAAAAAAAAATGCGAAAAAGATAGGATGTTAATGTAACATAAAGCACAAGTGGAACGGTTTTAATTAGTGAGAGTAATTATCAACTAATTAATAAATAAATTTGCATAATTTAACCGGCGCTATTTTTCAAGAAGAAAAAAAGAGAATTTGCAATTTATTGCTACCATTCATTCACTCAAATGATTCAAATTCATATCATTTTATTTTTACAACTAAGACTCATTGTTAAATAATTTCAAAGTAAAAAACAAAAAAAAAAATCGATATTAAAAAAAACGTTTTGGTGACATTGTCACTTCAAAGACAACGTTTGACATCTTGGCATTACTTTTAATAGTATATTACTTTTTGGAAAGAAAAAACCGGATTTTGACGTCATCCTTCTTTTTTTATTTCCGTTTCCTATCATATACTTTTTATACTTATACTTCTCTCTCTTTCATTGTTGTTATTGTTATCATACATACTCTCGCGCAAATTGTCGTTATAACAGTTATTATTATCATCATTATCACAGTTATTTTTAAGGTTATTATCATCATTATTATCAGAGTTATTATCCACTAATTCACTGGAAAATAACTTTATTCTATCAGTTTCATTTAATTATTTCGTTATTTTTATCATACATACACACACACACACACACACACACACACACACAATATAAATTAGTTATTAGTTATCAATTATATCACCAACGTTGTTGCTGTTACTATCCTATTATAATTATTATCAGTGTTATTAACTCTGTTTATAATTATGACAAATTCTGACATTTGTATAGTTTATTATAAGATCTGAATGGTTTAGACCCTATGATATTTCACTTATGAAGTACGGAATATTGTAAACCGTGAGAAATACTGTATTTTCTTAGGCACGGAATACTTTATTCTTTCATTTTGACTGTCACGCAAGCAAACTCATGTTTCAGATCAATAACAACAACTGAGAAAACTACCAAAAATATAAGATTAGTAGTAATTTAGTGTTTCCTGTCGGTGTCATGAGTACAACTATTTCAGATGACGTTTACGTCACACTAACGTTTAATGTTATAATCCTACGTGATCGTTTCTGCACACGTGAATGAATAATTTGCAATTCTTAATGAAATTCGAATTTGTTTTTTTTCTTTATTTTTTAAGTTTCTTATCAGAAAGATGGCAAATAACTGTTAGAATACTCTTTTTTTAAATCGTTCTATCTGTCCTTTTCCTTTTTTTTCTCCTTCTAGTGACACTAACCTAATTTCTGACATCTCTTTGGTCATCCCAAGTAAACAATATCAATGATACTTTTTTGCAGCAATGTCTTATTTAACTCTTTGTCAAATGATTGACATCATGTCATTTCTCATCACTCTTTATGACTTTAGTTTACAAGTATACCGTTAAAATCTTTAGTTAGAAATATTCCGGAATTCTTCCTATCGTTGTTGCTTTTCCGAAAATTCATCATCAGAATTATCTATTACCTGTGCTCATATTAAATTATCAGCTAATTACATTTTCATTCCCGTGTTTTTTCTTTTTTTTTCATTCATATCACTATCAAATTATCAAATGTTTCAAATTTAAAAACCGTTGAATTAATTAACTTACCTGTCCGAACTTACCTGTTCGCATCACTCGAACATTTGCAATTATTTTATAAAAAATTACCACTAAAAGGAAAGGAAATGGGAAATTTTTCAATGCAATGCCATAATTTGCAAATTTTACGCACTTTGTGAACGGACAGAACGGAAAATTACTTGTCCTTAATGACTCATTAATTGGTTCAGTGTTTGATATGTGAAAATCAAATGAAATTCTAAATTGAACTTAGCCAAAAAAGAAAAAAAAACTTAATGCAAATAATTCTTTCAATTATCAACAATCTTTCATTTAAGTTAATGACTTAAGAAATAAAAATAAATAAATAAATAAATAAAATTTATAATTTAAAACATTTCACCTTTCGAAGCTTAATATCTCTAACATACTTATTCATTATTATCAAATGATCCGAAATCTATTATGGTAATTTTCGTTTCATTGCATCAATGGAATCACTAACATCTCTTAATTACTGTTACCGTTAATAATCTAATTTATAAATTTCTTCTTTTTTTTTTTTAAGTGGAATCTTTCATAAATAATTAAATGTATCAAATTCGTATCCTTACATTACCTAATCCTAATTTAACAAACAATATGAAGTGCTAACTTATATCAAAAATAAATTTACATGAACTTATTATTAATTGGAAACGTGAAATTGCTTTGCTTCAAATTTTTAGAATTTCATTTTTAAAATGATTTTCTTGTAAAATGAAATAAAATGCTTAGTTAAAATAATAATCTTTCATTTAGAGCTCTTTAAAAGGCACAAATTTGAAGTAAAAAGGTTAAAATATTGAAAGGCTTTTTTTCCCCCGCTTTAATAGCCTATTTTCTGATGTAATTAGTTCATATTAATGAGCAAAAAAATATTTTCAATTCTTAAATTTATAATTTGATTAATTTATTTGCATATTTGTATGTTCAACGAATGTTGCATGATATATAATTAAAATTGTTCGATAATAGCTTAAATAAAAATTAAAAAATAATAAATAAATGATTTAACTTAAATTACAGGACGATTCAGTCAGGGGAAGTCTCGTACTCGCGGGACAATCATTCGTGGTAACACGATGTCATCCAGTTCACTATCATCCAAACATGATTTATCCTATACTGATAATGATTATGATTACTTTGTTAGTACTTTATACAATCTTCCGATATTATATAATTTTATCACATACTTCAAATTCTTTTATTAATAGTACATTTTGTGTTATTCTTATCATTTATCATTCATCGGAATGAAAACCAACGAAATGAAATAAATTTATGTAATTGCTAATTCAAAAATAAAAATGACAAAAGAATTAACTTATAGTATAGATTTTATGTTTGATTGTTGTGATAAATAATTTTAATTAAAAAATGATTAATTAATCTCTTCTAATCAATCTTTTCATCGATATTCCATAACACTTTTCTTTCCTCTTCCTTTGAACTCAGCCAATTTTTCCAATTGAATAATTTTAAATCATGATAATTTCAACATTATCATCATATCATTTTATCATTTCAGTTAACTGATGCATTGGTAAATGATATTGAACAATTTGCAAATCATGCAGAACGGTTACGTCAATCGCTTGATCCTTCAACAAATGCTAATGGTTTGTTGTATTTTTGTGTGTTAAGAAAAAAAAGAAAGCAGTAAAAATTATTAATTAATTATTGATTCAATAATTAGGTACATTGAGTTAATAATTAGGTAATTAGGTTAAATCAGATACAATTGTTTCAATGAATATCATAAATCAATATGAAATTATTATTTTTTATGACTAATTTTAAAGACTGATATGTTTTTTTCTTTTTATTAGACATTTCTAATCTAAATTAATTATTTGTCTATTTAACAAGTACTGATAAATACATTGATAACAACAAATACTTTTTATGCTTGAACGTGATTTTTTCACTTATTAGCATTAATTTTGTAATTTATATGACGTAAGCTATTGAATAATAAAATAAATTGAAGTAAACATTTCTTTTTTTTTTTTCTGTAGATGGTAAATCAATGTGTGTATCGGTACATTCGGCACTTTCAATGGTATCACAAGCAGTACGTGATTTATTGGTCCGTTATCCAGCCTTCAAAACAACTCATGTTTTACTACCTGCTAGTCAACTCATTCACAGTGTTAAAGGTTAAAATAAAAAAAAAAAAGAAAAAAGAAGCAATCCATACTTATTATTTAATTTCATTTTTAAACTTATAAATGTATAATGAAAATTTTAATTTCCAATTATTTCAATTATCCAATACAGTAATACAGATATTTCAAATTTTCAACTTCGAATAACGGATCGATAGATTTTGGTGGTATTTCATTGAATAAAAAATGGATCACCGTAAAGTTTAACTTAAATTGAATAATCGAAGATCGAAGTGATAAGTTAATAATAACTCTTCAAAGAATAATCGTTGACCAAACATTGGTGATGATAAGATGTAGTCTATGATATATATGGATAACATAAATTTGAGATTAATGATATTAGCTAATAAGCTCTATCTTTTAATAGATTTTAATAATTGACACTTTTAGTAGTTGACACTTATCAATGCACAACATAATTTGTTTTTTTCGTTTAATTTATACGCAATTTATTTAAAAAACATTGATGAAATGATTGGAATTTATTAAAATATCAATAAATGAACTAATTCATACAATGTTAAAAATTCCTTTTTTTTTAGAATTAAATTTCGATAATTCAAATGTTGATGCATCTCGGACTCTTACATGTTTGGAGAAGCTTGAAGCAGCTGTTGGTAATACTCTCAAACAGTCCTTGTTAGTTTCATCTGTTTTATTATAATTAATTAATTTCTAATACTTCAGCATTAAGAGGCAGTACACTTATTTGTTGGTAAATTAAATTATGAAAGTTAAATATGCAAATGAGAATGGTTCAATTACATCTTTAACCACTGGTCCTACACTTTCTAAACTTTAGAAATCTTCAATAATTTTTAAATTCGGCAAAAAAGAAATCAGAATTATAATTGTTATCAATTTAAATTATATCAATTCTCGAACAAAAAAAAGTGGTAATCTCTACTGTTACAATAATTTTATTATTACATTTAATTGTTGGGGAAAACTAAAGAAATTTTCAGTATCATGAAAAATTCAAAAATTTGAATTCAAAATTTTATAAAAATCATATAAAAAATAATTCATTTATTGCGACAGTAAAATAACCAATGATTGATGAATAAGTTTAAATGGGATCACTTCATCATATTTCTATTATCTTAATTATCATTATAGTTATTCAAAGCAAAGTAACAGTGATAATTTAATGTTTATTCCACATAATTACATGATAACACAATCTTACTTATCACATAAAATATTGCTGATAATTTTTTAAATTTACAGGCGACCATCACGAACGACATCAAAATATATGACTACTACATTAGGTCACAAAAATAAACATGTTTGTTGATTTTTTTTTTCTTAATTTATCATTTGCAATCTATTTAGACAATTTTTCATTAGCTTCTCTAAATAGTATTTGTTAATAGAAAGATAACTAAGATTTTAGAGTAATATAATATGTTAGGAGCAATTAAAGTTCGATAATTAAGCCTTTTAACTATTTAGATGAGAGTTAATTGGGATATTATTATATTATAGCATTTAAAAAAAGAAAAATAAAAAGACAAATGCATAGATTCTAAGAAATTTCATCACATATAATATAATATAATTCATTCCGTGACAAATTTTCATTTTTTAATTTTTTGCTTTTTTATTTTTCATTTTTTCTTGGTGGGGAACGAAAATTTTATTAGATTGATAAAAGCTTTTCATAGCTGTACAAATTGGATTGCTTTTTTGCTTATTATCAATAAAAGTTGGTATTTCGGCTTTTGAAATTTTGATTTGTTGTAGAAATGAAGTATAGGATTTTAACCTCTGAACTTTTGGCTTCTTTGGAAAAATAATGACCTGTAGGACTTTTTGTACCGGCATATCATGATGATTATAAAAATTCCATAACAATTATGTGTGAATTCTTTAAATGAGATAATGCTTAGATTAAGTAATAAGTTTGTCAACTTTCCGCTTATATCCTCAAAGGTCATGTAATTTAAATGGCCTATCCTCTTGTAATAAGTGTGACTCATGACACGAGTTTTACATGATTATCCAACGTTTTTTCCTTTCCACAGCTTTAAGTTTATTGGATAATCTAATTAATGAGGTCAAGCTTTTCAAACAATCATACAAGATATGAAATGTAATGAATCGAAAATAGCTGCTTAGTAATTATTATTTTTAAAAAGAAAGGTGACAGAATTTTCAAACAGTACCAAAAAAACTTTTTTTTTAAAAAAAAAGAAATTTCTCTAAATTTACTTTTTTTATGAAAAGATTTATTTTGAAAATATTGCTTTCTCGAATTGATTACTTAAATTTGAAAAAAAAATAAATTTGGGAAAATTTTTTTTTTAAAAAAAATCAATTCAAGAATACAATTTCACAATTAGTTTTTGGAAAAAAAAACGTAAAACCGTAGTTATCCGTTTTTCCTGATTACGGTTTTGCTGTACGGAATATCAATGTAAAAAGTACGAAGAAAAAAGAATGGAAAAAAATAAGGAGTGAAATAAATGGGAAGAAATGAAATAATATTTTGAACTTGCCATTTTCAGTAATTAATTTTATTTCATTTCATTTTATTCCACCCTTAAATTCAACCAAAATGTTCTTTCTATCATTTTCATCTCATCAATTTGCTTATCAAAATGATAATAACTTTTTAACTTTTTGTATTTAATGATCTTTTAACTATAAGGATAATTAAACGAAGCACATGCATGCAGCGTACGCTGCATGTTTATATAATGTAAATAAATTATAAAGAGTGACATTTTTTCTTTTTCTTTTTTTTTTTTTTGTAGGATTATTTATATTATGGGATGTAAAATCCATAGTATCACTAGTTGAATAATATTGAATATCTGATTACTTTAAAGATTTTAATCAATAATATTTAAGTTGATAAATTGATTAAGTTATTGGTTTGATTGATCGAAATTCTTGTACTACCAGATAGATTATTGATAAAAAGATAATGGATATTGTTTAAAAATCTACCATATTTGTTAGAGCAACTAGAATGATTCTTAGTCATAATGTACTTATCTTTATTGCTTTTATTTTATTTCTTCAACTATTTGATGGAACAAGAATTTATTTTTTTTTTTAAAAGAAGAATTGCAAAATTTTATTGCAATGAAATTTTTAAAACGTAAAATATAACAGTTTAAAAAAAGAAAATATAAATTTCAGGATGGTTTAAAAAATGGGCGAGTGCTTCTCCGGCGACATTCCGCTTTTCAACCAAAAAATCATGACAATTGTAAGTTTAGCTTGTTTTTTTTTTTTTAATTTTTTTGTCAGATTATCGCATTCAATTCAAGTGTAAACTTTCGCGGCTTTTAAAATGTTATTTGAAAATGTAAAATGGTGTCATTACTCAAAACTGGAAGTATAAAATATATTGGAATGAATCAAAAGAGCAAAAGGGGTCAAAGAGATGCATTTATGATGACATTTATGATTGACTGATTTTGTCACCTTTTTTTCCATCAAATTATCTCTCTTCTTTTCTTGTCAACTTTTACCTCATTCTTTCTAATCTTTTTCATTAGCATTAATTTATTCTCTAAATTTATATGTTACATTTAAAATTATTACTATTCAAAAATTTTAATTATAAGCTTTTTTTCTTTTTCTATTGACAATATTGATGGCACTATAAGCCAAGATGGAATTGTTAGGCTCAATTCCAAAAAAATGAGCCAAATGTATGAAGTAAGTTTGAAAATTATATAAGGAAAACAATTGAATTTAGATTGCAAAGCTTTCAAAAATGATTTCATTTAAAACATTTAAAGAAAAAAAATAAAGCATCATTTAACGATTGTTTCTTTCCATTCATCTCCTTTTCCATCTCTCTCTCTCTCTCTCCCTCTCTCTCCCCCCTCTCTCTCCCCTCTTTCTTTGTGCAGTTTTATCTATTCTAAAATTTTGCTAAATGCTTTTATTTCCGGAATTCACTTTTTTTTTCTTTTTTTGTTGCTTTTTGTTTACAAAGGAATTGAATGATACACTTTGGCGTTTTGTCATTTCAATACTTTTCCATTTTTCTTTCTTTTGTTTTTGTTTTTGGTTTTTTTTCTTTTCTCTTTTATTGGTAAAAAATGAATGACTCAATGATTAATGAAAATGAATTAATTAATTTTAACTGAAAAATAAAATGAAGTGAAAATGGCATAAAACAAATACCAATGAAATGAACTTAGGAAAAGTGATATAATTCTCAAAAATTTTTAACTGAAATTTCAATTTATATTTTCTTTATTCTAGAATTTTCCACTACAAATTTGTTTCAAAAATAATTATGCTTTAGCTTTATATTTTCTTTATTCTAGATTTTTCCACTACAAATTTGTTTCAAAAATAATTATGCTTTAGCTATCTTTCGAATATCAAAAAGTTTTTGGCATTGTTAAAATTTTTAGAATTTGCATATAATGCCTAATTAAGTAAGCTATTTTCTTTAAATTATCATTATTGATATAATCATTTTCATATTATTCTTTACCCTCAT